AGGTCCTACCACCAGTAATTACACAAATTAAAATTTGCTAGTTTGATTTTTATTACACGATGTTATTCTTTCACCGTGGAAGTTAATCGAGAACATTTGTTGAGAACGTATTTCATTAGAAAAATTGGTACTCGCCTGTGATTCGAACATCGGTGCATCGCTCAACATGAATGCACCGGACGTCTTGTCCTCTAAGTCACGACGACTTAACGACGACGTTTATGGAGCTCTCAATGTAGCAGGAGATAGAATACGCTGACGGCCTGAATTTGCAGTTGAATACGATTCTCAATAACGAGGAACTGACGAGAAGAGGTTCCTTGTTGTTATTCTAGATCTTTTAGAATCCGACACGATTTCATTAATAATATCGCAACCGATAAACGTGCCGAGAATTTCGGAATGTAAATTAGCGTAATCAAAAAAATGTGAGGTTTATCTTGAATCAAGTGTCCATTATGGTCATATGTGATTTTTAGAAGCGTGTTATTCAATTCTTTTTTTTTTATTGCCTAGATGTGTGTACGAACTCATAGCCCACCTGGTGTTAAGTGGTTACTGGAACCCATAGACATATACAACGTAAATGCGCCACACACCGTGAGATATAAGTTCTAAGGTCTCAGTATAGTTACAACGGCTGTCCCACCCTTCAAACCGAAACGCATTACTACTTCACGGCAGAAATAGGCGGGGCGGTGGTACCTACCCGTGCGGACTCAAGAGGTCCTACCACCAGTAAATATAATATAACAGCTTCTTCAATTTGCCTTATCAACATACTGTCGGATCCTCCCGATCCATTTTATTTTATAAGTGATTTTAAGACCCAAGTAAGTTAGTGTTCTCGTTGACCTTGTTGAATGAGACGTGCGAAGAGTGCAAAGTGCAACCTAGCCCATAGACACAACCCACTACGTTTCTTACTGGCCTTCTCAGCTGGTTGCGATTCCGATCCGGTGGTGGATTTAACGAAGCACTGCTGTTGCTAGGACTAGTGTTAGCAAACCTTCCCAGGGTAAACGCGGTGGACTCATCTACTGGTCCGTGTGTAGTTGTAACAGACCCTTAGACTACCAATGATTCTTCTTCTTTGCTTCTATCTTATCTCACTGGGTGGGGTCGGCATAGCAAATTTTTTTATTCCATTCTCTTCTGTCAGCCATCATTTCAACACTCACTCCTCTCTCTCTCTCTCATATCGTCGTTCAGACATTCCATCCATGACTTCTTCGGTTGACCTCTTCTCCCTCTATTACCATACAGTCACATGCATCTCCTCTATGCATCACATGTCCATACAACTCTAACCGTGAAAAGCTACCAACGATTAGGGGAAAAAATACCCATCAGCTTAAATTCATTTTTGTCCAATGATCTGAATTCAACTATAGCCACTGACCCCTCAAAACTTACATTCATTTTTCATGTCTTAAACATTATTAAATTTCATTTTGTTCATATAGCTTTCTGACCTAGCTTCTGGTCTGTTGTAAGTGGTTACCCAACTGCCTTGAACCATGAGGTCAAAGTCTCCGTTAAAACCAGAACGCGCGACGGCTACGCGGCAGAAATAGGTAGGTGATGGAGAGACCTACCATGCGCACAATGGACAGAGCGTCCTTCCACCAGCAAGCTATAAGTTGGTCGATTCTTTATGGTCAACTAAAAGTCAACCTTAAAGAGAGCTTTGAATAGTAATATAGTAGTAGTAAAGTATGAAATTGGCGTTTTATTGTAATAGGCACTTCGAACTTACATAGAATCTTCATGGTTTGAGATTGTTGAGTGAAACTTTTTTCAAATGTTACCTGTGAGATTCTTCTTTTAAAAAATGTACAACATTCAATTATCGACTTTCAGTTGTTTTTTTTATTCAGCTTAGACAAGAAAGATGGATCCTTCGAAATTTCGAGTTATGTTTGCATACGAGTTCCGACGCTAACGCTGCAGAAACAGCCGAGCAATTCAATGTTGCGCTTGGAGAGGGGACTGCTAATGAACGCACCGTGCGATTTTGGTTTAAACGCTTTCGTGATGGAAATTTTGATTTGAAGAACGAATCACGTGGAAGACCGCCCACATATATGAATAACAATGAATTGAAAGAGATGGTGGAAGCCGATCCGAGCCAAACTACCCAGGAATTAGCGGCACGGCTTAACGTTACCTTACCAACAATATAGACTCATTTGCGTCAAATCAATAAAATAAAAAAATATGAAAAATGGGTGCCTCATGATTTGACATATCTGCAGAAAGAAACGTGTGTTGAAACTTGTGTTGCCTTGTTGAATCGATACAGAAATGAGGGAATATTGGATCGAATTGTGACATGTAATGAAAATTGGATTCTGTACGATTAACGTAAACGAGAAATGCAAAGGCTGACCCCAAGTCAAACGCCGCAGCAGTGTCCTAAAGCAAAGCTTACCAACGGTAACTGTTTGGTGGTCTAAACATGGTGTTATTCACTATAGCTTTCTCCAATCTGATCTGCAGATGACTAATGTGCCGAACTCCGAACAATAATAGGAAAACTTGCAGTGAAACAGCCCCAACTCATGAATCGATCTTCACCCTTATTGCTCCATGATAACGCGAGACCTCATACAGCACGAGATACCGTTTTAACTCTACAGGAACTGCAATTAGAAACCATTCGTCACCCTCCGTATTCGCCAGACCTTGCTCCAACGGACTACCATATTTTACGTGATTTGGACAATTTTCTATGCGATAAAAAGTTTTCTTCCCAGGAGGCAGTACAAAATGCTTTCACACAATTTGTAGAATCTAGATCACCAGAGTTTTATCGTAAAGACATAAATGACCTTCCTGTTAGATGGCAGCAATGTATAGATAATAATGGTAGATATTTTGATTAAATAAATATGTTAAATGAAGAAGAAAAAAACCAATTTCAATTTTTCAGTACAAATCGGCAATTTTATACTTTAACCCCTAATAACCACAAATTAAATAGTACAATGCCTTATCAGAAATGTTAAGAATAACTATTTCAGCTCAGTCAAATAAGCGAAGCCGGAAAATATAAATTATCTTTGAGTATGCCGTTGTACCGGGTATGCCGTATAAAGATATTATTTTTTGTTACACTTGACCTATTTTACTAAATGCAACTCATATTAAAGGTAAGTTAGGTACCTAAAATTACCGAATTACAATTACGACCTACCAAATTAAGGACGGGGTCATGGCAGCCCCTCGAGGAACTCAACATGTGGGCCCAGTTAATCTTCTGTAATGTCCATTTGAACAGTTTAATTGTCGGGCCCGCACTCACCGGCGCAATCAATTAACTATACCACATTTACACCTGGTAGTCCGCGTGTCAGTGATATATTTATTAGCTGCTCAGTATCCGCACTTATTCTGTGCACGGTTCTTCCTGATTCGCTCACGGATTTTGAGCCCTAATGAAATCTTTTAGGATGGTTCTTGCACGTTTTAGTGCATTTAAAATTTTTGGAACGAACTTCCTTACGGCAGGCTTGTAGGGTATAGGGATTTTGCTGCGCGACCGAACTGAAAAAAATGTGATAGTAAAACCGTAAGAAAAAATCCGTGGAAAAAGTGCGTGGAATAAAACCATTCTCTTTCTATTATTATTTCTATTTTTCTATTTCTATGTAATTTTATGTTGTCAAACAAAAATAAAGAGACATACATATTTTGTTATTTTAGTTGATAATTTGAATTACGATGTTTTTTTATTTTAAGTAATTTATTATTTAAAAATACTGAATTTCCTAAATACTTTCTTGTACGTACATAAAAACTAATCAGCAAAATTTAAGAGAAAGATCAAGAAAACCTACATAAAATTGAGCACGATTTTTTTTGCAGTTTGTGTCGATTCTACATTAGCCGAAGGAACTTCGTTCCTACCTGGTGTCCCACGACACCACATAATTTCTTTTTTTTTTAACGTTTTAAATGTAGTACCATAGGCTATATTGTATATTTTAATTGTAGTACTGTAGTAGTTGTAGTATTGTAGTACGAATGCTCCGAATTCCGTGGACGGCCAAGAGGACAAATAAATCTATCCTGGATCAGCTTCGCATCCGAGTCAAGCTCTCAACAATCTGTTACCAGAGGATCCTCAGCTACTTCGGTCATATTGCCCGCCGACAGTCAAATAACTTGGACAAAGTGATTGTGACGGGCAAAGTAGAAGGAAAGAGACCCCACGGCCGATTACCTAGTCGTTAGTGTGATCAAATAACCGCCCTAACTGGGCTGCCAGTCGCAACCGCCGTTCGAGAAGCTGAGAACCGGACGAGATGGAAACAGCTCACGAGACAGGCCACGATCAAGTTTCAGGAACACGACCTTCAGCAATGAAGAAAGCGACGAAGAAGAAGAAGTAGCATAAGCAGATACTTGCCTGGGCCCCTAGCATTGTTGTTGTCCATGACGGTGACCACTTACCATGAGGTGTATCTGTATGACTAGAATGATAATAAAAAAGTTAATTTTACCGGCTGAAGAAAAAATAAGTTATAAGTACTAATACGTGGTTAAAATCTACAGTTTCAAATACAAGCACAGTCAAAATCATACATGATAAATAATATATAGGCATGTGGGTAAATGCATGGGAAAATGAAAAAAAATACCAGTTAATTTTCAGTTAAGTGATTTTACGTTTCATTATAATTTGACTTCACATCCCGCAGTTGGATCTATCGGAAAACGTAGTCAGGTTTTAAGAGTTCGAATGTAGAATGGAATGTACAATATATGCGTCGTAACTCGCAGCGCGGCGTTCCGCGATGATGGTATCACAAATTACATACGTTCCACATTGGTCAGTGCATTACACGCGTGGAGAACAAGGTCATCCATAAGGGGTCTGTACACGATGTGATAAGACAATAATGTTCGCCGACACGTTTAGAATGGATAGAAGGCGAGTGAAGCGTTTATGAGTGCGGTCACACGACGCCACTTCTCTCTATCAGCAGTAGCGCCCTCCGCCGCCCTCCGCCTCTCCGCGGCCAGCACGGCGCCCGCTGAGTGGAATTTGCACGAGCGGCGTTCCTCGCGTCGCGGTTTAGTTCAGTGTACGTGCGACCGTTCGCGGCCGAGGACGTTTTCCCGCGTCGCGCGCACTGTACTAAAGCTTATTACGCAGTTGATACCGTCGCCGACCGCGTGGATTTTTGTTGACTAACTTTTATGTGTATTAATATTCTTAAAGTGTATCAGGACTGCGTACGCAACGTCTGAAACTGCGTTAAGAACCCAGTGATAGCTCTTATCAGTGCGGAAAAGTTTCAAAGTGTTATTATAACTCTGAAGGACAGCCGAATTTGCGCAGCGACAATCTTCGAGACTATTGATGCTAGTGGCGATCGTGGGCGATACGATATTCAGAGTTTCGGGCCGATTTGAGCCACGTTACAAGGTTATCGCGCCTCTAGCCCACCAGTGATGAATTGGAAAATCGGCGCGTAGTCACTCACGTGGTGTGCGCCCCGCCCCCGCCTCGTCCGCGCTTATATTTAGCGAAAATCGCCTCTCGGGAACGGTCCGACGGCCGATACTCTCTGCGTACAACGCTGTTAATGAACGTTAGTGAGACGCCACATGTTATTGGCTTCGAATAACAGAGCCGATAAGGAGAAGATAGATAACCTCTGCGGATCGCGGCCTGTGTCCGACGATTCTGGAAATAGAAAGAAATCGCTTACAAAATCAGAAAAGTGATTGCGTTGAGATGCTAACGGCCGATATCGGCACGCGCCTGTGAGCGCTCGAACCGGTACACCTATCGAAAATTTTCCACTGTTGTAGAGAGTCGGCGAAATGTCAATTCAGGGAGGCGGCGGTTACCAGAGCCCTTGGTCATCTCAGACGGGGCTGTCAGAACTAGAGGGAACAATGGCAGAGTTGGAACCATTAGGTGAACTGGCTGAGGTTGGCTTCGAGCCACAGACGCGCGCGCGATCCAACACGTGGCCGCTTCCAAGGCCAGACAACTACGTCGAGCAGGTAGACGAAGCCGGCTCTAAGAAGAATTCCAACCAGAATCTATCTGGTAAATATCTATCATACCGCCAATGAAACGATATGATTGCGAATCGTTTGATTATTTGGGTCAACCCAAGTAACTAGTTCCCTCGACTTATTTGTATGACCCATCAATGATCATACATTATTACCTACATAAACTTGTTTACGATAAAGAAAATATTAAATTATTATTAAACACGAACAAAAAATCTGCGGCCTTTATTTGCCACACGAAAAAATCGCCCATTGCTAATATAAAAAGACGAGGAAATAATACACAAAAATATTGTGACAACGAATAAAGCTTAAGTTTCTACAGTTTTTCTTTTATATGACTACCCACTGAAAGCTTACTTTTCGTAGCAAACCTTCCTGTAAACATTCTCTTCTTAGAATTCATATTCTTTTGAAAACATGTTCTCGTGTTGTTTCTGATGGTTGTTCTATAAATTATTTCTCCATCTATTAATCTGTACAAACCTGAGAACATTTACGGCAACGTAATTCTTTTTCTTCGTAAACATTGTGCATGTCAGATCTTTGAAATAGGTTTTGAAGTGCTAACAGAATGAAAATACAATGACGTGAACAAAAATTGCCAAAATTCATTCAACTCCAATGCATTTTCACTGAAATTTATTAAATGTGTGATGTGACCAGAGTAAAAAATTATTTGTGACATGTAGGGTTAAATGTCTAAAATACTATTTCATTAATTAATTAACATCGTTAAGATACAACGAAAAATCAAAATGGGTCTTATAGTGAATAAACCAAGAACCAATACACATAATTATTTAGAATCGATACAAAAAATGTACGTTTTCTATTAGTTTAGTTAGATAATTATCATTTATTTTTTTTCGACTCACAGAAAAACACTTCACATATAATTAAATCTCAATCACATTAAACAACTAGGTACATATTTGTGTTTGTGAGTTCTTATTTAAATGAATTTCTGAGAAAAAACGAAAATAAATTATTAAAATTTATACTGTAACAAAAACAGTTCTGGGGTACATTTTTTCATAATGCCAACGATATATTCTTACGTTTATTTTCTAAAATGAGGTTGGTTCGATATTAAAATAGGCTGATCAGACAAATTTGCCGGAGGCTATGTTTACATAAAATAACTTTTAGAAGCTGTATAGATAGATAGCTATTCCAGTTTTAATCGGTACGCGGAGTATAATAAACCCAACAAGTAGTTCAGATTTTAATAATTTTCCTTTTGGATATATATTCGTATAAATTTAATTTAATTCTGACACACGACATCGAATTAACGTCCGTGACAATTGGAGCACTATAAACAACAAAGTTAGAAGCGTAGAACTAAATACACAAGGAAAAATTGATATCTCCACATACATATATATGACCAATGCATTCTGTATACATTAAATAGTGCGAAATAAATCTGAGGTTTCAGTGAAGTACATAATTATTAACAATATTTTGCCCTCGTACATTTACCTAGTGACGAAATGTTTATGTTGCCCTTTGTGGCTTAATTAAACATTCACATATAAAATTAAAATCAGATCGTACATTAAAAAGAAATCAAACCAAAAAAATCAGTCTCTAAAAAACTTTCCCATTGTGTTAAATTTGCTTAATACCACACTAGTATTTCAAGTAAATACATATCCAACCAGGTATTGCCTGGTTAATTCTATATCAGCCAATTTTCTACGCTATTTGTTCTAAATTGGCCATTACGTCGTCTACCATAGCCAACTGTTAAGTACTTAAATTATATTATAATACTTGAAATTGTACTTTTTACTATTTAAAAGAATACTGGTATAATCTGCATTAATTATAATTTATTCTTCTAATAAGGCCGAAGTTTCTTAAAGTTAGTGTACAACTAACTAGAGAAACGCAATCATGATTACTGCACGAATCGTATAGACAATCACAAACATTATTTCATTTTCATTAAGTACTTTATTTAATTCGACGAGAGTGATGTAAAAATCTTCCGTGACCGCCCATTATGTAGTATTCGAAACATTCAAAACATTTATGAATATCTTTTTACCAATACCAATAACATAATTCAAACGAGACCCACATAACACATCAGCTTCCGATCTACCCTTAACCACATTCCAGCCTGACCGCTTTCTGTAACGGATGTAACTCGGCCACGGAGACCGTACAAAAATTATAAATAAACAATACATTTATTACGTAACCAATGAATGCTATGTGGAAAAGTCTGCACGCGCATTTTATAAGCCTCTACGTCGCCCAAATTAAGACATCTCCTGCTTTTTTGTATGTGTCCTAAATTTTAAAAGAAAATATAGTGATTTTAAAAAAAAATTATCCTGGAAATTATCAATGGGATTAACAAAATAATATAAGAAAATAAGATAAAAATAATAAAATAAGCAAAATTACACAAGTAAATTAATAGTTATTTCATTAGTATCCCCAGTATAAACAATTCGAAACATTTGAAAATGAACAAAAATAACTGTTTTATTCATTTAGTTTAATGTTACTGGTTTTTTTTTCTTCTTAAAAACTATTTTGATTTATTTTTTCCTTAATTTGTGTATTTTTGTATTTTATTTTCTAGCTATTAAATTGCTATTTATTGCAATAAAATAGTTGTAGATTCGCAATTAGGATTGTATGGGGGGTATTACTATTCTGCAACGCATCGTTCACACACAAAAAAAGATTCGCTTCAGTAATCGCGTTTGCAATATTTTAATCACGTACATGTGTGCATGTACTATGTAAGTGTATGTAGTAATCGTACCTAGTGAGTACAAAAGTTCATTGAACTTCGATTTCCTTGACTTTGGTTTGTTGCTTTGTTTCGAAGTTTTAAATTTTATTTTGCAATTGATACTCATAGTTTTTTTTTTTTTAAATTGATAATCAGATAAAAACTGATCAAAACATTAAGGATGATTATCGTTCAATTTTAAAACTGGAAATGTAACCCAAGCTCAGTAGTTAATTTAAGAAACCGACTAACTTAATGTAAATATATAAGGAAAGTTGTTCTAAACTTTTGGGATATTGCGATCCTGGTTTTAAATAAGTTTTTCTCTCTCAATTCACACACATAACTCTCAATTCTAATTAAGTTTCTAAATGCAGGAGCCCCACCAATACCAGCGAAGAAAAATTCATCGCGCCGCAACGCCTGGGGCAATCTTTCGTACGCAGATCTCATAACGCAAGCCATCACCTCGGCACAGGACAACAGACTCACACTGTCGCAGATATACGAGTGGATGGTCCAGAATGTGCCATATTTCAAAGACAAAGGGGATAACAATTCATCCGCAGGATGGAAGGTAAGCATTTCTTTTATTTGTCAATGAGAATTTGCCTTAATTTTTGTGTGCGTGCGTCAACATATCTATATGATTGCGGACGTAATTAATTACATGTTTACGTTTTAATCTTGTGTAAGCTGTTTTCATTTTCCAATTTCGGACGCATCGACTGCGCGACAGTTTCGCGTCCACAGAAGGTTTTATTCGTCGTAATATCAATTTGGATTTCACACTATTTACCACAAATATTTAACACTGTTGACATTTCGGCTTTTTCACTTTGATCAAACGATATTTTTAAGTTAACACATATACTTTATTGGTCGTCCTTGATTTAGCGGACACTAACAAGCCAATATATAGGTATTTAAACTGTAATATTATGGAAATTATATTCAGCTTTGGCTGAGAACTGTTTTGAGTAGAGTGATTAGAGATATTGGTTAACTAGGAACCAAGTTATTTAAAAGAACAAGTTCTAAGGTAGAAATTGCCATAGACATTTTCATTACTACATCAATGTTTCTTCACTATTTTACTTAACTTAGAAATTTATATTGCACGAAAATGTTCTTTCAGTTATGACATTAACGGTTCTTTATGACAGTAATTCAAGTTTTAAAGTTACTTCAAAAATAACCTTACAAAAACCATATTGGATGCCAGTTAACAGCCATAATGGAATTGAAACATTTTTATCACAAGTTCACGAATGACTTCATGATGAAGGATTAAAATCGTGTAATAAAAATTAAAAGCCGAGAGGAAATTTAATTTTCGTACTTACTGATGATAAGTTATTGCGTATTGTAACTTCGCACGACTAGGTTCCACTGTTCTGATTATTTCTGCCGCGAAGTCCTTATGCATTCCTGTTCCAAGAGTGGGAAGACCCTCGCACTATAAAATTGAGACTTAGGTCTTACACAACAAGGTCGATTACGGCACTCACACTGCAGGATTCCAGTACTCACTTCACCCATGCAATAAAAATAAATAAATGAAATACCCATAGGTACTAATATTTATTGTTACTTTGCAAATTTCTGTAAGCCGTATGTGTTTATTTTCATCGGAATCATTGAAAATCGTTCGGAAAATATTTTAAGGGCATTCCTTTGAATGAATCATCATTGGCTTTGGTCCATCGTAAAAAGAATTATTCCTAAGCGTGACGCTAACAAAATTGCTGATGAGAATTACAAATGTACCGTCTTTATTTATCAGATTGTAATCTACTTTTATTTTAATGGCGTTTGTAATTGGATTGTAACTGTTGCCAGCGTACCATCTTAAACTAAAGGTCAGTCACACAAGGTCATTGGACATTTTCAGAGAAGCATAATCTATTTATTTAATAAAAGTATGTGATTATTTCGTATGTTACCACCGAAAATGTGAAATATCAACAATACTCACCCGTAAGAAATTTTAATGTGAAACATCCATACTGTTTGAGATCACGCCATCAGCGTATCCGTGTTTCGACGCCAATTAAAAAAAAAACGTATCGTTATAAAATAAAATAAACATTCTACTGTTTCCGAACTGATGTTTCGAGAGAGAGGATTAAAACGATCTTTACGAATACTTCGAATAAATAAACTGAATAATCTTGAATTATTTCTTCGTGTGAGATTCGAAGAGAATATCAATCTCTTTAACTAGATTTGAATATCTAAAATTGGGAAGTATATTACAGGAAAATCAATTTTTAGTTCCTTTTCTCTTGTAAAAATTGTCATTTTGCAAAGTCGTCAGACACTGATAGATCGAGTTTAAAATTAGACTATGTGGGCTTTTACTGGCTTTGCGAGTCAACACGGGTAGTAACCACCACCCCGCTTATTTCTGCCGGGAAGCAGTAATGCGTTTCAGATTGAGGATAGGAACACCCGTTGTACTGTTAAACTGAGACTTAGAAGTAACGTCACAAGGTGAGCGGCTCCATTTACGTTGTTGATGTCTATGGGCTCCAGTAACCACTTAAGACCAGGTTGGCCGTGAGCTCGTCCCCCCATCCAAGCTATACCGAAGTACAAGCTCACTCTTTTCTACTACTGACTGAACTGTACATTTCTTTGCTTTATGACTATTGGAAGGCCAATGTTCAATTTGAGATTCAACCAGCCAATAATCTTCAAAAATTATTAATGTAAAATAGCAGTAAAATGATCTTTTGCAGTTTCAGTAAACTCATACCGAATCTGCCTGGTTGACTATAACTAAAATGATCCGCTATTACTTTACACATGAAAAATGGCTTAATTGACAAACAAAATGACTCTTCACAATCCCGCCAAAAAGTACTTTATCACCTTTCGCTAGTGTCTATCGCAAACGTTTTCATAAGAATGGTAAAGCCATTCTGTCAATATATTCAATATTTCCTGTATTTTCCTAACATCGCTTTTACGTCTGTGAACTGTGTTTCGTAGAAACGATACGTATTTTTGTCGAACTACGCAGTGGCATAACCTTATCTCAATCGGGTATGACACGACCGATATAATAAATGATAATAAAAACACTATTACTCGGTCACTTGATGATTTTGTTACGTAACTAATCGTTGTTTATCCAATCCATTGCGCTTAGGCAAACGCTACACACGAAAAATGATAGGACTGACAAAGCGATGGATACCTCTGTATGCGTAAATCCCGGGCCATATAATGTCGGAGTCACATGATGTCGACACGCTTTCGATCCACTAAAAATGTTCTATGAGAATCTACATCCGTCTTATTTTATACATGTATCTTCTTGATATCTATTAAATTTCATTACAGTCAGTTTCAGAAATTGGCCATTGAGATTGTTAATCAATTGAAAATTCGCGTAGAATTCTACAAAGTTGGTGACCTTCGCGGTCGTACCCATGGCATTGATTAATGTTTGCATATACAATGCCCATTCAAGCGGCACGCGCGTTCAAGCTATTACAACAATTAACTCGTGCGCAATAAAGTCGAAAATCATAATCATAAACAGGCGTCATAGTGAGCACATTTAATTAGCAAATTGTTTAAGCTATGCGTCACAGTCTTGCACGCAAGCAACGAACGCGAGTGAAAGAGACATACAGCGTGACACTCGCTAAGGTGAATGAATTGTAAATTACTGACATATTTTCACTAAATTCAGTTCAACTAAAGTAGTTTTCTATTCAGTAATGCAAAAGATATTTTGTTTAAATGGATTACGTATTATTACATTTAAAAGGTCCGCATTTGATTTTGAGATATAAATCAAACAAGACAAAAATATTTACGCCCAAAAGCTAAAGCGATGGATAGTAAAATTAAACATAGAATTTAATTAGAATATGACAATTATTATAATATATCATCGTTCCAATGTCATTTTGCAAATAAGGGCTTGACAAAAAAAAATATTCAAAAGAACACCATAAATATTAACCAAAAATCATCAAAATTTTACTGCCGACAACACTCACTAGTTACTATTCACAAGACTAGTTTACCAATTAACTTAATTCAATCGATAAAATTAAATAAATTTCGTTACATATAACATTGAAATGAAAGTAGAAATTAACGAAATCAATGAAAGCGAAACAAGTACAACGCGTTTAATAAAATTTATGTAATAGACATATTGCATAACACCATTCCTTTCCTTCAAGTAGATTTCGCTACTCGTTAGTACTTTGACTGTTTGATTTACATTACCTGTCGCAGTTATAATGTAATATTGAAGTCGTCGTGGCCTAAAGGATAAGACGGCCGGTGCATTCGTATATAGCGATGCAACGGTGTTCGAATCCCGCAGGCGGGTACCAATTTTTCTAATGAAATACGTACGTAACAATTGTTCACGATTGACTTCCACGGTGAAGGAATAACATCGTGTAATAAAAAATCAAATCCGCAAAATTATAATTTGCGTAATTACTGGTGGTAGGACCTCTTGTGAGTCCACACGGGTAGGTACCACCGCCCCGCCTATTTCTGCCGTGAAGCAGTAATGCGTTTCGGTTTGAAGGGTGGGGCAGCCGTTGTAACTATACTGAGACCTTAGAACTTATATCTCAAGGTGTGTGGCGCATTTACGTTGTAGATGTCTATGGGTTCCAGTAACCACTTAACACCAGGTGGGCTGTGAGCTCGTCCACACATCTAGGCAATAAAAAAATAAATAATAATAATAATATCTGAAGGTCGTGATGTTGCCACCTTCCAAAAGCCTGTCTCAAATAATCTTCCCCACTGTTCCTGCATACTTGGTGTTGTGTGAAAAGCCCAATGTGGTAGGATTTCTCACGTACCTACTCACATTGTTACCTCGTAATCTTTTGTTATCAATTTACTTTAATTAATATTATTTTCAATTAATATCACCATATTTTTTACCAATCTGTCGAAAGTATTTGAGAATGCGCTTAAGACGGGTAGATTTGATCGGGATTCAGATTATAAATGCGATTTAATGTATAGGTAACAAAACGAAAAATGAATATTTCAGCAGGATATAGAATAATATTGAATTCAGCGTAAGTATATAACGAATATAAAACTAGTAAGCGGAAGTAATGTGTATGTATGTATGTAATTTGTATGTTCTTACTGGTGGTAGGACCTCTTGTGAGCCCGCGCGGGTAGGTACCACCGCCCTGCCTATTTCTGCCGTGAAGCAGTAATGCGTTTCGGTTTGAAGGGTGGGGCGGCCGTTGTAACTATACTGAGACTTTAGAACTTGTATCTCAAGGTGGGTGGCGCATTTACGTCGTACATGTCTATGGGCTCCAGTAACCACTTAAAACCAGGTGGGCTGTGAGCTCGTCCACCCATCTAATCAATAAAAAAAAAAGTATGTAACTGTACTGATGCAAGGGTTCAATGCTCTAATATCTGCAAACAGTAATACATTGCTGCTCGCCGAGACTGAACTTACTAAAGCGATAAATATATCTTTAACTTATTTTGAATTCTAAAAGCTTCGACTAAGTATTGTCATTTTTTCATTGTATATCTAGCTTAGCAAATGAATTTTAT